CAGCAAACAATGAAAACTGGGGAGGGGGGAAGAAAATCTGCCTGAAACCTCTGTATGACTTTCTTATATGGGGCAAATATCACCATTCTAAGCTTGGACCACTCATCCTCCTCAAAGACTGTCTATCTAAACCAGAGAACAGCCAGTGCCTTCAGTTCAGACTGCATCTGGGAGAAAAACAGGACTACGAGGAAGAATGTGGGTCTAAAATGCACCTTGAAGAATTATGATTACATTCAAGAAGCTTTTCTGCTAAATAGAGCAATATTCACATCCAATCTGTTTTGGCTAACTCCAATCCAGATTGTTACGATTACCTAGCACCAACCTGAGCTCTTCAGGAGGTCTGAAGTAATGGCACATTTTTTCCGAAGGTACAGCCAGACCTCTGCAGATATCTGCAGATAGCAAAGATGAAAACATTCTTGAGCAAAGCTAAGGATATTGGCATGAGTGCTAATGCAATGCACTCTTGACTAAGAGAGCTCCACCTTGAGACTCATAACATGCCTTCACGCACCGTGCTTCAACTGACACAGAGGATGCATAGCACTCTTTTGCCCTCAGAGATGTGAGGTCTTGGGGAAAAAAAAACCAACAGCCTAAACTAGTGGACCAAATAAAACTCACTGCAGGTATGAGATACAGGCAAAGGTAACTAAGTATTTATTTTCCCTGTTGTCCCAATAATCAATGAATTAATGTAGCAGGGTACAGGTTGTTTGTAGATCCAAGGGTGTCCTCACAAGGGACGAAAATACTGACTTCAGATACCTCTGAGGCACTGACTTCCCAAGCAACGCCAAGAATCTTATTAGGACCACAAAAGAAGGGCGCAGGATAACTCTAAAGATTACCAAGATGATAATTAATAGAAATCGATCCCTCTGGATGGATTTCGAAGAGCCTGTCCATCTTGATTCCTTTCAGCTTGAATAGCCTATAATAAAGAGATAAGGACCCGCAATAACAACTAAGATGGTACAAACATGAAGTCAAGAACCTAGTCCACTTAAATAAGAGCATCCAATGGAACTACTTTCAGTAAGGGCAACAGCAGGCTCCACCCAGAGATGGCTGGAGTATCCTGCCAGTAGGGAGCAGAGTAGATGCTGTACCTAAGAGAAGCCTATCTGGCAGAAAAGCACTGATAGTACAAAACCAGAAGCCAAAATGGTTTCTAAAAGGCGTGAGCAATCAATCAGTGTCATGCATAATCTATCCATCTTTCCATTTGAATTCCTCAAACCACAGCAGGTTATGTCCTTCATTTTCCTGTTTCATGCAATCAGGAAGGTGCCCAACAAGGAACCTCTGCGCACTTCCTTTCCAAAACCACAGCAAAGTGGGTTTTGTATGTCCAGAGTATGTACAGACCTTGAAAGCTGCCTCAGATCTCCCTTCCTATCTCTCACCTTGAAGCAAAAGTGATTGTTCTTAAAACTATGTCAGAAGATAGGCCATGGCAGGGCAATCTGATGTCAGCCTGACAAGTTCAGTTAACTTTCTGAGACATGAAGAGATAGTAAAATGTAATCTTGCAGCATATGGACAGAAATAATTGAGTATCATAATTTCTGGCCTAAAATGCTATTAAGTATACATCTCCGTGTCCAAGCATATTAAAGTAAGTCCCAAACTTGTGTTTCAAGTCACATTTGAAAGGGGAAAAACAAGACAGACTTCTACTTGAGCCACGCCCCAGCTGGATGACAGATGAACATGTTCTGACTCTCTACACTCAAAATAGCTCAACTTCCTACTGAAGTACTACAAAGGACCAATTAGCTCTCCTTGCTCCAGAACCCGAAGAAAATTCTGTATTTTGAACAGAGTCCGTGAGGTCCCCAAAGGAACGTGGAAGGTAAGAGAGAGGACTAGAGCATGTAGTAGAGTGGAACTCTCAGAGCCCACATGTCTTCACAGGTGCTTTTGATTTCTTTAAAGGCTCACAGAAGCATTTTAGGCTTTTTCTGGAGGAGGAAGCAAGGTAATGGAGACAGACACAACAGAAACAGGAGAGAAGTGGAAAGAGAATAGCTGCCAATGCATGTATAAAGATGCTGAGAAGATGAAACAGGACTGAATGAAGCTAGGAAAGCTGACAGCCTGGGTTTGCTGCAACCTCTCTCTCCTACAGTCAGGGTGACTGCTGCACATAACTGAGTGAGAAAAGAATGACCCATCAAAAGGTGCGACATGAAGGAGCTAAATGTTTCGATCCCACCTGTCCTTAGAAAGAGTCCTCAATAGCTCCAGTTCTCAGCTATATTATCAGTTAGACTCAGCCCCTTGAAAGGCAGATCCAAGAATCAGTCTTTTCCCTTGACAGCCCAGTGGCAAACAACTGTGCAATGTCATGTGAAGGTACATTAGCTGTTAGCATCCAAGCAGCCTAACCCGTTGCACCTGAACTCACCTGGGCAGATTCCTTGCATGAAACTGAACTCTGACAATACGCAAGAAAAACTTTTCTAAAGCAGGATCTCTCCAATGTCCTCCATATTCTGCACAATCTCACTGGCACATATTTGCAAAAAATACATGCTACTACCATGTTTCAGCCAAGGATAGTCCAATGAATAACCCAATACTTTGCTGCACATTTAGCTCCATCCTCCTCTAGGACTGGAAACTATTTTGTTTCCCCTCTGCCTCTTCTGCTTCTATTGTTTCCTCCCCCAACAGTAAACACTAATAAGAAAGATGTGAAGGTGTTAAAGAGGGTCATCTCCAGTCCCTCTGAGACTTAAGAGTCCTCTCTGACTTAGAGTAATCCCTCACAGCCAAGGACTGCCAACAGGAATAAACCCAAGAGGCTGTACAGCACATGCTGTCCCTTGTGACACTCCTCTGTTGCACTTCACAAGAAACCAGGCCTCCAGTACAGGTCACCATAGAGAGCAGGTAGGCAAGTTCAGTGTGCAGACACCAGTGTAGTTAAGACTTGCTGGCTCTGACAACACAAGAACTCAACATCACTAAAAATCCACTATGTCTATTAAGATCGATGTTACCAAGTATTTATATACATTAAACACTTAACATGCTGAACTCCTACTGTATATGTAGATGGAAATTCGTAACTTGTGTGGCTTTGCTGTGCTTTTAACCACAAAATTTGCATTTGTGTGAATTGGGATGACATTCACAGTTATTCAAAGTACAAATTAAAAATGAAAAAGAAAAATTTCACCTACCAAGTAAACTCCAGGCAGTACCTAACTGATCACTAGACAAAGCAGAAAACCTCTCAAGGGTGACTCTGAGCACACTTTAACTTCAAACTGCCCCTTCAGGGGACTAGCCTAGGCACACTAGCCAGCTGAGGTAGGAGCCAATGGTCGCGTGAATATTTACTGTAATTAACTATGCAGAGGCAAGCTAATAACAGAGCCAGCCATAGACATGCAAATTTTCATCACATATATGAGATTCTGTAGTGCTGCTGAAGTGTTCGGCACACATACCTTGGGAGAATGTATCAGCATTAAGAGAACCTACTGTATCCTGGGTAACTGAAGAAGTTGCCAAATTTCCACAATAGGTTTTTGAATACACAGTACATACTGCTGAGGTTAAGGAAAAGAACAGCTTATGCTGTTCTTAATCCTTACAGTATCAGTTTTCCACCTTCACAGGCACTTGTCAACAGCTGTTGACATCAGCAGTTTTATTCCCCTTTTATGGTTTGAGAAATTGATTCAAAAAGATGAAGCAACTTGCTGAAAGCACAAATCCACTGCCAGACAGGAACTCTTTGGCATTTATTAAATACACTATGTATATTCAAGTCCCGGTTAATGCACGCTGGTCACTCCATACTTCTGAAGACTGTTAGGCATCATTGGTCTAAGCCATCACTTTCCAAACAGATGCTATAGTCACTCATAGCAGAAGACGTGCTAGTTCTCACACCAGGCATTGCTATTGCTCGCATCAAGTCAGCACAGCACAACTAAAGCCTCTTTATATGGTGACCACAGATCCCCTGTTCCAAATGGCAACTTCTGCAGTTGGGGGATCCAGAAAGGGATCCCATACATTTCAACATTTCAGTTTTAAAATAGTCTTCACCATATTTTTCTTTAAATGCTCTGCTGCCTTAAGTCTTCACAAATCTTCACACTGTCTGGATTCCTGGTTGTGGATAGCCTGCTGCTCAAAGCAAAATCCACCACCGTATTTTCTCTTATAATGTTGCTTCCACAAGAAAACTGGAAATGCCTTACTACACTCACCATCTTCTTCAAAAATTCAACTGCAACTCTGCACCTTCTCTTTTAGCATCCATCTGAGAACAGTTCTCCAAAGTATTCAGTGTCATTGACAACACAGGAAGTGGTGGGGGGCTTTCATTTTGGCATGTTGTTACAGCCAATGCCCAAAACCCATAAAGAGACAATAAACCTTTGAGGAAATGTGTTTTGATATGCTAAAAATGTTGCTTTTTAAAATGAAGACCATCATTATCAATAAAATATTTATTTATGGACTTTCATTAAATCTTGAAGTGGTTCAGAAGCAAAACAAAATTATCATCAATTTGTTGCTGTGTAAAGTGAAGCACAGAAATTGCCAACAATGGGCCTAACACCACAAATCCTAGGGATCAGAAGCACTAGGAATAGCATATAAAACCCTACTCAATGATTCCACTACCTTTACCATGTGTGCAAGCTATTTTATAGCTGAACTAGGACCAGGAAGGGAAGGTGGGGGGGGTGGGGGGTGGGGGAGAAAATGCATTAGAATGTCAGGTGGGGAAATAAAAAATAGGTACATGATCCACGTTAGGTATTTGTGGACTGCTTCTCACCCTAACACAGTATTTATGGATCTAAACATAACAGAAATTTGGATGGAATGATATGCAACTTTTTGCTATCACAAATAGTGGAAAGAAGAGTAGTGGGATAAAGAATTGGCCTGCTTTCCTTTCCTCATATAGAAATTTTAATAACTTAATAATAGGAGTAGTAGCATAGAAATAAAATTACCTGCATGAGCTGAGAGCGGTGAATGAGGCCGAGGCAGGGCTGGAGACTGGCCATTGCCCATCAAACTCTTCCTGTTGCTTGTTCTACAACTGTGGGCAAAAAGAGAGGAGAGAAAACATTAGCATCAGAAATACAGCACTTACATCCGGACATTTTGAGATTCTGCTACTTAGTTCCTTTGCTTCCCAGTCCCGTATTAAAAATCAGAGCTAATTTGTTTTTTTAGGCATGTCCAGGAAGTCTACTATCATACTGGATAATGGCAAAGACAGCAGTTTCCAAAGAAAATGCACCATGGATTCTTTTCAGGCTTGCACGTTTGCCGTTCCGTGCAAAGACCAGCATTCCCCTGTAGAGTCATTTACAAAATGTTCTTCCCTGACTGGAGCTTGTTTCTCTGCCATACACTTTTCACAATACACAAAGATATACAAGCATAATGTGAAAAACAGTGTCAAGCTTAGAATCACCACTCAATGATTAAACCTATTTCCGTTGCATGAACTGCAGCTCCAAATCACATGCCACAAAGAGCAATGATTTATAAATCTGAGGATGATACAATAATTATAAATCTCATTATTGAGATAAATTTCACATCTGTGCCTTTTGTCAATGAACAGATGATGCCTAAGAAGATGAATGCATTTTTTTTACTCATACATTTTTCATCTGCGAAGCCACTAATTTCCCACTTCTCAAGATCATTAGGTGAGATAAATAGTAAATTAACGCATCCATTAAATTTCAGAAAGGAGATATGTTTCTTAAATACATTATACAGGTTTTAAGTATTTGTTAGGCAGAAGTGTTTTTTCTTTTTTCCTCTTTCTACTATAAACAAATATTCTCTCAAACATAAATCCCCAACAGGAAAATAGTATCTTGAAGTCAAACAGACTGTGTATAAACTTAAGTGCATTTGCTAATGTTTACAGCAATGCAATCAGAATTTTTTTTTCCATAAAGGTTTAGAAAAATTCAAAAGCACTAGAAGGGGAAACATTCATACATAAAACCATTTCATTAATACAGTAGGTTTCCAACAGAAGCAGATTCAGATTATATTTGAAGATCTATCAAACAATGAATTTTGTAACATTATGGTCTCTATATAAAAGCCAAAAAGCAAGGCTAATTAGTCCTGATAACGTGTAAGTTGAATACAATTCAAAAGAAAGGACGGAGTTTAATAGCATAAACAGCTAAGTAAAACAGATGCAAAAGTAATCCAAAATAATACTGAAAACAAGGAAAATAAAAAAGAAAAACAAAGGCAGAGGAAATGTTGATTATAAAAGCGGTATAGAAGATACCTGCAATATGCAAAAAAGGTCAAACACTAAGACCAGTCTCCCCTTGAAAAATGCTTTGTGAAGCAGCAAGACAGCCATTCCCAACTGTTTAATAGGTAAATGCAAATTTCATTTGCATGAATTGCACAATGACTTGCCATATTGCTTAATTATCATAACCAATTAAATGATGACTTAACTCATGAGTACATACTTATCACTTCTGTAGATCTATGTAAGAAAAAAAGCACAAAATGATTGCAAGATTCACATTCGGAGCGCTGGAAAAGTCAAAACTTATTTAAGACACATGTCACTATTTTTGGTAACTTTTCTTGTACTATACTATGACAACCTTTACTTTATCTGCTACGCTTGTTTTTAAAAGCTTGAATGACTGTTCCTTTGCAATTCTCAATCTAAAACTGGATCCAGCTTTTGGTACTCATTAGACATTTGTTAAAGGACACACAGCCTGCATCTATCCATGATGATGCGATGGTATCACTATGGCACCTGTGGTGCAGGCTGCAGTTAAGAGACCCCATTACATGACTTTAAAGCAGCTTTGTGTGTCTAAAGTTTGGACCTAAAAGATCACTACATCTCCGATCACAAGGAGGGAATACATTTTAATACTTATCTGTAGAAATTCAGAGTTTTATCACTTTTGCCAGAATTTCCTATGTAAATAACCAACTGCCTTGTATTCACTTTTACGTTAAAATTCAAACTTCACGTTCTTCAGGCGAAGTTAGCGCAACACCTTTCACAAATCATTATCAAAGATGTCTAATCCAAGTTATCTTGATTTTTTGGGAGGCTGTTTATAAGAATTATTTCTGGGGAATTTGATGCATTACCTCCAATATCAAGATTTTACATAATGAGAAAACCTTCACCCCAACTGCCATTAATAATAAAAAAAAAATTGCTATTTGCTCAGATGTGGCTGCAGCTGCATGGATAATTTATCTTTTATCATACTCAAATGAAATGTTCTATTAGGAAACAGAAAATAAAAATATGAAGACTCCTCTATTTGTCTTACCAGTAAGGTAAGATGCATCACTGCATGAAAGGACAAATCCATCCTAGAGCTCTCACTGTAGCTTTGTTTTTTTCAGTTCTGTTTCACAAAGATTTTGAAATTATGTTATTCACCTGCATAGTCTGTGAAACACAACTCCTTCCCCAGAATAATGCTATTATAGAAAAGGCTCTTTGTGGGCGAGGGAGAAAAAAAAAAAAAAATCTTCACGGAACCCTGAAAGATGATCTAAGCTGCTAGAACACCACAAATGGGAAGCAGAATCACACTAAGGAAGTATCAAAGCACTACTTACTGGATTGTATTTAGCCTTGAAACGGCAACCTTCTGTATACAAAAGAATCTCAGAAGTTAAAGCCATTCTGCAGACAAAATCGTTTTTCCTCGATCTCTGAACACATCAAGTAACTTTCCCCTTCTATTGTCCTCATAAAAGTATCCCTCTCCCATTCAAATCTGACAAGATAAACCAACTGATAAGACACAGCCCTGAAAGAAAGCCTCTTTGTCTGCAGGAAAGTTATAGCAGTACAGGAACAGTCTACAGGGATTGTAACTTAGGGAAACATAAACCCTGGTAAACCACAGAGAACTACGCTCTGAAAACGCAATTCTCTAAGCCTTGAATTTCATGTTGTGATCAGGTTGCGTGGCACAGAGAGGAAACTAGCAAGCCAGGCAGCAGATATGACACAGGGTTTAGAGCACTGAAAAAAAAAAAAAAGGAGACAGAAAACCATCTTTTTTCCAAGGAGAAGACAGTAGAGGAGAACAAAGAAAAAAAAAATCAGTCATGTTAAACAATAATTAAATTTATGGTGCACACAAAACTTGAAGAAAATTGGAAGTCTACATTTTTTACCCTTTGTTGTCTTCTCTGCCCCAGGAAGATCCTTCCTGGACTTTAGTCTGTTGCCGACAACTTAAAGCGGCAGCCGTGGATGACTATCTATCTGGAAGTAGTTGGCATTACACCACGGCAGCAGTGCCCTGGACTACTGGCATTGTTCCTTATCTTGGAATCCAATTCATAATTTCATATTTGGTTTCCAAATACCCACAGACAGGTTCTGCCTTACCTCCTGCTCTCCACCACCGACACTCCTGCCCACTCGCACCTCTCCTCCCTTACCTGACTTCTCACCATGTCTCACCTCCTTCATCCCAACTCCACTATCATACCCAACACATTACACCCCAAGTCACTTCTCCTACAGCTACTACAGATGATCAACGCTTCCCATGAGAAGAACTTAGGACAAAACAGATAGAGGACGCTACAAAAGAAGTGCTCAACTTTTTTACTCACAAAGCAAGGGTGAAAGGCTGAAAGATGCAACTCAGTTGCACAAATCTTTATTACCTTGCTCCTTAAAAAGCCACAATTCTTCTCACATCAGGAAAAAGCCATTTGAGCAGAGATGATAACTGCTAGATTGAAACCAGCAAAGCACAAGACAAAAGTACCAGTATGGCCATTAACATACAGCTACACTCCACAAGCTCTTTGAAACACTAAATAAAATAAAAACTTAAAGCAGGAATTAAGTTGTTCTAGGACAGACAGTACAGGCGGTATTTCAGCATAAAGAACTGAAATATTAAAGGCAAGTTTCCTGATAGAGTAATCAAGAAACAGCAAAAATTGCAAGAGGTTTATGCCCTGAAATGGAAGTTTCTTCCTCACAATGAAGGCTAATGTGTGAGCAAGGGAAAGAAGGCTATATTGACAAAGATTACCACTTGCCATGCTTTTCACGGGAAATTTGGCATCTGCTTTAATAATTTATAATGATTTCATTTCAACATCCTCAATTATTAATATTTACACTTGTAATGAAGATGGATTTGGCTGTAAGCTATTACGACAGTTCACCACCTTTCACAGGCTATGCTAAGCACAGCACTACTCTGCAACACAGCTTCTTAATTTTGGTATCAGTGTAATACAGTAGTTTAGCTGAAGGTACAGATTAAAAGGGGACTTCTATTTTAAGAGAGTCTGCAAACAAAATGTTTTATTTGCTAGTAGAAATGCAGAGAAATTACGCCATTGCCATACCCAGAATGCAAAGCCTAACCATGTAGACACAAGAGAGACTAATAATGCAAGACCAGCACTCCCATAAAGGGTCTAATGATAGGAAAGTTAGTTATAATTTCTCCAGTGTTAAAACTGCACAGCTGAAAACTACCTCAGGAGGAACATGCTGTCCCTAGCAAGACTTGAGATGTGGCCACTTTGTTTATACAGGAAAGTTAAACTTAAGTTATATTTCAGTTATATTTAACTTGTTATGGAGCTAGCTAACCTATGACTTCATACTTATTTACTATCTTCATGAACAGCAACACTGAAAAGTCAACAGTACACACACCAACTTAAAAAAATTAAAACATTTAAAGAAATTTAGCTTGGGGTTTTTTCGGTTTTTTTTTGTTCTTGTTTTGTTCTTAAAGAAAAAGAATCGTTTTGCATTAAAAAGCAGTTTGATGTGTGTGTCCAAGCTCTCCACAATCCAGGGAAGTTCTGTGGGACATTAACTCAAACGAATGCAAAAAAACAGCTGCCATGAAGACACACACTGATACTGCAGTGACTTCCTTGTCAAAACAAGCCTTTAAGCTTGTGTTTGATGAAGCATCTCCTGATCCAGAAAGCTGAAGTAACACATGGCCTGCAGTTAATAGTAGTTTCACACCTAGATTGCATTATCAAAGAAGATCAACCAACTCTGTTCC